ACTTAACTGGGATTTTAACTAACAACAACAGCACCACAACAGGGGTCAGAAGGATGAGGATGACTGGGCAGTCATACCCGCTACCTGTATACCCGTGCGTCCGCACGGTCGTAGCCGCCTAAGCGTCACTTGAACACACTACTCCTCGCCGAATACAACTCGATAGTTCAACCATCGTGCACCATGGTGTCCAACGTGTGCTCCGCAGTAAGATGAAGCAGGCACGGTGACTTGCGCGTGGATTAGTTTGTGGCGAGGCTAGACTTGCGCAGCACCTAACGCACTCTCTCATCCCCTATTTGGGCCCGGCGTCAAGATATTGCTAAGAAGACCGGAGAGGCTGCAGGTGACTGTCACGGCCGGACCCGCGCCTAGGTGCACCACCACACTCCTTGGTCCTCAACAAACACTTGACCAGAATTTTAACAAACAACAGTAGCACCACAACGGGTCAGAAAGAAGAGGACGACTAGGCAGTCATGCTCATGACCTATGTATCCAGCGGGAGCGTCAGCGCATCTACCGGCAGAGAGTCAGGGGCCAGAGAACTGCCAGCGCACAACAGGCTGCGAGGGCCATGGTTTGCTGAGCATGACACAGCAGATTCCGGAGGGACCTCGTAGCTCAAGTGAGTAAAGCGTTGGCTGTACTCAAACCCTGCCCTTGCTGTCGTGGATCCGAATCCCATCGAGGCCGCCGAAGTTTTCACAAATGGATAAATAAAAAGATATTGTCGCGGGCTCTGGCCGACCGTTATGACCATGTCCAGTCAAGTTTTGACTGTCAGTTTGTCTCGTCTGGTCATCCCTGCGAGATCCCATCGCCAGAGAATACCGACGTGGAAAGACAATATTTGCAAGGAAGGTGCTGACCAGAGCAGTCATATTTTACTGTCTACTTTTTACGCAAGAGTGCTCGGTTGTGTACAAAGAGGTCTGTGAGGCCAATTGTTGATACGCGCAGGTCGGTGAGCGGAGCAGTCTACTTGATAATAGAAGCGAAGAGACGAATCTCAGGATGCAGTCGTGAAGTACGTCCTGAGGCAGAACTTCAGGAGCTGAAGGACTTGACCATGTCCAAGACGATTATCGGTTTCATCGTACTTACTTGGTAGAAGCCGCTCGATTGTCTCGATCGTTAGGTCCTGGGGAATAGAAGTAAAAAGGGACGCAACATCAAAAGATACTATGACCTCATGTGGATGGAGGCTTACCCCTTTGAGTTTCTCCAGGAATTGTGCTGACGAAGAGACCGTGATGTCTGACTCAGCAGTCAGGAACTGGAGATGCCGGAACATCCACTTAGCCAGTCCGTACTTTGGAGTATCTTTGAGAGAAACGATGGGTCGAAGAGGTGCGCCGTCAATGTGCACTTTAGAAAGGCCATAGGATCGGGCCAAAACCTCATCTTGGGGTCTCGCCATACGTCTGTCAGTCAGTGTTATTGCGCCTGAGTTCTCCAAGGCCAACATCGTAGTATTACTCTCGCGTGTCAGCGCTTTTATAGGGTTCGTTGCACATGGGGCATAGAACTGTCGGTCCTCCAGTAAACCTGTGGCTTTCTGAAGATAGTCCGTCCTGTCCAGTACAACCGTGGAGCGCCCCTTGTCCGCTGGCACGATGACCAGCTCTTTGTCGGCCTTTAGTCCTCTAAGCACATTACGTTCGACCTTGGGCAGCACTTCCCGCGGCCTGGGAGCCATTAGGTGGGACGACACGTGGTGTTGGATGAGACTCTTAGTCTCCTTCGTCGCCTCCGTCAGACTAAGGATTGAATCCACTGCTGCAATCATGTTAACAGGTTTGGCGTCAGTCGTGTTGAATGAAGCTTCGTGCCGTAAAACCTGCATTTGATCCTTTGACGACAGGTTGTGCACCAGTTTTTCGTTTCTGGGCCATGTTGGATTAGGCAGGTTCGAGTAAGAATCCGAAACGTCAGACTAATAAAGCTCTTGTGCCAGCGATCGCGTCTCCCTCTTCACGTCCTCCTTGATCTCAACTCGCTCTATGCTTGCCCTTTTAATGCCACCCATTAGATTGCGTAACTTCATAGCTAACATAGAATTTTTATAGTCGGCAAGAATGCAAAATAAGCAGTAAAATTGGAAGCACCCGACTGTCGTGACCATTTTAGATGAGGGTAACTGGGGGCAATAATTTATGAATTAGGTCGAGAACTCTCCTCAGTTTTTAAATAAAAGCCGTCAAACGGTGTCGTCAATATTTCTGTAACGGTTAAAACCCGAGCGGTTGGACCTGGACTTACCAATTCCCTTGCATTTTCTCTCGTCCAATTTTTCAGGAGCAAAATAAGCAGTACTCGATTTTCCTAATCACCCCGATATTTTAATTGACCCCGTCATTATGTAACCAAACTTGCTTGGTGAGAACTTTTTAAAAGCCAACGTCCAGCTTTGATTAGAGCAGGATTAAATTCTTTGCCCTCCGGCATCTTTGATCGCTAAGGCTTTACATATACGGGCTATTTCCTATGGCAACTAAGTTGTTTAGCATGTGATATTTCGCCTCACCTTGTAAAACATCATCGACATAGACAAAAACTTACAAAATTTGGCATCAATTTAAACCGACTCATTCCATTCAAACAACGTCAATAGCTGTCAGCAATAAAATATGCGTATTTTGACAGATTTTTTTAATAATTTATTTTAAACCGGCTGTGAAGAACTCGACAACCTCGGTGGGGTTCAAACCCACGACAGCAAGGAGAAGGCTTGGTTAGAGCCAACGCTTTAGCCACGAAGTAACGAGGTCACACCGGAAGACGTGATTTCAATCAGACTTGGGTCAGTTAACCCGCCCTGTCTGTCTGAATTCACCAGGCCTGACACAGTGAGTCTCATGCCCAAGCAGTGAGTCCGGTGGTCATCTGGTGGATTCTAGATGCATTACTTAGGAAATCCTGCCTGGGCAGTCAGCTTACTGTATCAGCTTTGGCCGATTCCAGACGTTGCAGTAGGCTGGGCGGGTGACCTGACCCAAATGTGATTAAATTCATGTCTTCCAGTGGGGCCTCGTAGCTCAGGTGGCCACAGCGTTGGTTGTACCACAGCCTTCCCTTTGCTGTTGTGGGTTCGAATCCAACCGAGGTCTCCGAGTTTGCCTTTAGGGAGACCTGGCAGTCGACTGCTCGACCAAGAACCCTTCCTAAGGTTGATTAAATTACGCCGAGCTGTTTTTTTTTATGTCGGAGAAGGAAATATTGTCGTCGTTTTAATTTTCGCCCAACTTAAGTGACAGGCTATTTCAGAGCTCGTTACATCTCGACAACAGTCTTCCATCTACTTCTCATAGTGTTTTCCATCCTGCTATAGGACAAACGCAGGCCGAAACTTTGCGAAACTTCGCGTAGTGTGGGGGGCTCGAATTTTCTTCTATCACATGATCAATCCTAATTGGTTGGTGGTGGAAAGTTTCATTTGAATTCCAAAACGTCTGCGCTGTCACGCATTCCACGTTCAGCATGTGACATCTTATGTTTACGAGCCTTTTCGCACACCGTAGGCATGGGGCGCAGGCATTTGTGACTAAGCATTTTTAAGATACAACCATAATTTTCGCAAAATTCATCCATCGTTCTGTGGGAAAGAGCGGTTCATGGGCAGTTAAATATGAGGTCCCGTGGTGTCGTTAGCATGCATTGGCCAAACATGGAGTAAAGTCACAGGACGTTTCAAACTCCTTGACATGATACTGATGACTGTAGATTTATTAGCAGGTCGATCTGGATGGAAACTATGATCACGCACGTGCTAACATGTAGGGACAATACATCGCGGTAATTAGATGTCGCAAATCGATGCCAGGAATCTCGAGATGGGCAGAAACGAATGTAGTCTGCCGGACAGCGAGTAATATGGGCAGTGAGCTGATTGAAGTTCGCAGCGCCCTCCCGACTCCTGTATTTTATCGTCGTCCTCTGAAACCTGTGCGTAAACTTAAAACAAATTCTTTCTCGGACTAACGTTATTAGTTTCCGTCCGAAAGCTGGTATGGATATTTGAGCTGACATCCGTCAACTTTACAAAATTCACTCATCGTTCTGTGGGAAAGTGAAGTTCCTAAGCAGTTAAATATGATGCTCGGAAGTTTCTTTAAAGTTCAGCACTTAGACATGCAGGTTTGGGAAAAGCCGCATCAGGGAGAGTGCGGGAAGGCGCGGAAAACTTTATTGTTTTTGCAGGCTAACTGACGATATTTTTGACCGTCGTGATCGACAATGCCTACCGTGTGCTCCACAGCAGGGTGAAAGCGGGGCGGTGGCTTGCACGTAAATTCGTTTATAGTGATAGTGGACTTGCACAGCAGCTACCTCACTCTCCCCTCATCACCCACTTAAGACAGAGTCAAGAAAACCGGAGGCGGAAGAGCGAGCAGGTGGCTGGCATGGCGAAAACCCGCACTTCCCTGGTCCTCAACGAATCCAAAACTTGGCGCCGAGTGGACCGGCAAGTGGACCTGCCGTCACACTCCAAATGCTGGCATGTATTACGGGTGCGCATTTCCGATAACGCCTGTCGAACTCCGACCTAGCGCCTGTGTTGGGTCAGCGCATATAACTCATGGTCCGTTTTAGGGGCCACTATTAATGTCGCAATAAATCCTCGACGTGCTGCGTCCGAGAGAAGGCGGAGCTTTCGTAATGCAATTAAATGACCTTGGGCCGTTGGGGCTCCGAAAAGAAGAAGGCAGCATAGAAGTGATGACTGATGGCCGTATACTGCCTGCGTGATTGGTCGGTTTGAGAGTCACGCGTAATGGGTAAACCAATCAGCCAGCGGACGGGCGAATGCTGGTGAAGATTGGCGATAACACGGCACTTAGTGACCTACGCAGGTGTGACCTTGGTCGTGGAGAAGAACGTGCTCAGAGCAAATGCGCCTGCTGGAACGCATCGTAACACTGGCGGCATTGATGGAGGGACTGCTTCTCAGAACCGGGTCGGAATCGTGCTGCAAGCCCGAAAGGCTGAAATTAGTTAATCACATGTATCCCGTTGGGAAACCACTGGAGTCGCAACTGCCAAAATCACGGATACACCCTACCTTATAGGACGTTCAGGTTAAGAACCAATCAGGGGCCGATCTCCCCATCTACACTATCCATCATTACCTGACTTGATTAATTCTGGTTGCCCCTGCTTATCCCCTCTTACCTCGCACCTCGCCACTCGTGCAAGAAATGAAAATTACTCAATTTTCCATATTACTCACGGATTTTACTTGAGCCCGTTACCATAAACATTTGTCAGCTTATTAAGAATTCACTGGAAGGAAATCTTCACTCACCAAATAGTTTGCCTATTGCAGCTGAAATCCTTATGCCTCAGGCAGTCAGTAGTACAAAGTCGGGGCCTTAGGAATCTGCAAAATTATTGGCTTCGCTGTCATTAATGCTCTAGAAGCCGTACACAAAACGCTGGGAAACCGACTGAAGAGCAAAATACCATGCGCTTGCGTGGTGCAGCATCAGAAAGGTCAGTAAAGACGCGTCTGTCATGCATGTAGGCGTTTATGTACAGTGCGTGACCTATCTCATGAAATGTTGGCTGAAATTCTGAAATGTGTTTTCGATTAGGAAGGATTTCTTGGTCGCGGTTGTGATTCTGATTATCTTAAGGCATACTCTTATAACATTTTAGACTCGGCAGGATGTCGGCTTTAAAATGCACTTCTTTTCGATCTCCTGTAGAAAGCGTGCTCGGTAAAAATGACTACTTAAGTAGCATGCATTTTTCCCATTGATTTTCGATGGTCTTGCAAATTCAAATATATTTTATAGAAACTACAAACAAAATGTGCTTTCTTTTAGTCAATCAATAGAGAATGACGTCTTCTTTATATTTTATACTTAAGGAAGGAGTATAATTAGGTTTCAAAAAAGTTTTCTAATTGCCGAAAAATTTGGAGCCTGATCATTCGTTGCATTAGCGCTTAGTGATTACACTCTACAAGGTGCATGCGTTCCGCGTAAAGAAAATCCCATATTTTTCGATGTCGTTAAAGAGATAGCATACAGGGTCCATAAAATTTTGCAATGGATGCGGACCATGTTGTACATTTCCTGAGGAGCAGTGGTAAACGGCCAGGTAAGATGCTATGTGAATGGACATATCGCGGTCTTAAAAAGTCCCATAATAAGAAACTTTTTTAAAACCTAATTATACTCATTTTTTAAGTATAAAATATAAAGAAGACGTAATTCTCTATTGATTGACTAAAAGAAAGCACATTTTTGTTTGTGGTTTCTGTAAAATCTATTTAAATTTCCTAGAACATCGAAAATCAATGGGAAAAATGCATGCTACTTAAGTAGTCATTTTCTACCGAGCATGCTTTCTACGGGAGATCGGAAAGAAGTGCATTTTAAAGCCGACATCCTGCCAAGTCTAAAATGTTATAAGAGTATGCCTTAAGATAATCAGAATCACAACCGCGACCAAGTTATCCTTCCTAATCGAAAACGCATCTCAGTATTTCAGCCAACATTTCATGAGATAGATCACTCACTGTATATCTTTTCAAGACATTTAACTTGTCTGGGCGGCAGTTTTATCTGTAGCTTTTAAAAAAACATCGAAATAAACAAAATTTGCAAAAATGTTTGACGACCCAAGTCGATTCATCCTTTGAACGTGAAGTTTACTGCGACTAAAAGTAAACACTGCATGCAAGGAAACCTGAGAACTTGCAGCTTCTTGACTGAGAATAATTTTCACTGTTACCGCTGGGAGTCTAAGAAAAGTATGACGAATTTTTTTTTGTGACTAAAA